GGGTGATGCTAGTTGAAATGACCCTGAATCAAATTATTTTCAGAGCTCTGTACAGCTTTTGATTTGCTCTTCGATTAATACAAGGTTGTTATTTTGACTTTAACTTCTTTAAGAAATAGAAAAACACTGGTCATTTGAAAACAGTGGAACCTATGAGAATATTTGTTCTAATCATACCTTTGGTGCGAATCAACTACATGAGAGGTTGCATGTGTTCTGTAACCATCTCTTTAAAGAACTGGTGGATAATGTAAAGAGATAACAATTTTCTGTCCATTATAGGCGTCTCCCAGGCTGTAGAACACATTAATTCAAGTATTGGTCCAGCTCTTATCAGTGAGGTAAGACAGCAGCTCTGTGTTTGGTAGTTCTTTCTTCCTTACTTGATGTAAATTCATTTCTTTTATAAAATGTTAATACCTGTTTCCTCAGGGTGTATCTGTGGTTGAGCAGGAGAGAATTGACCAGATGATGATCGATCTGGATGGCACAGAGAACAAATGTAAATTTGTGAATAGTCTTGTTATAACTCTCTTTTGGGCTTTTGCCTTTTAGATTTAGACCACATGAAGTTTTACTGCGACTCAGTGTGTGCATAAAGTTATTGTAGATTGTTGTCTTTCTGCTTTGTCTTTCATTATTCTAAATGCAAGTATTTGATAACATTTATTGTATGTTTTTAGCCAAATTTGGAGCAAACGCCATCCTTGGTGTTTCTCTGGCCGTTTGCAAAGCTGGTGCTGCAGAAAAGGGCGTTCCCCTCTACCGTCACATTGCAGACCTGGCAGGAAACCCTGAGGTTATCTTGCCTGTGCCGGTGAGACAACAAACCAACATTCATGTATTTCCTCCCGTTAAGTTACCAACTTTCTCTTCTCTGCACTTTTATCACCAGGCCTTTAATGTGATAAATGGTGGCTCTCATGCTGGTAACAAGCTAGCCATGCAGGAGTTCATGATCCTGCCCATTGGTGCCACCACCTTCAAAGAAGCCATGCGCATCGGAGCAGAGGTTTACCACAACCTCAAAAATGTCATAAAGAAGAAATATGGGCAGGATGCCACAAATGTGGGCGATGAAGGCGGCTTTGCTCCAAATATACTGGAAAATAAGGAGGGTGGGCATGCTTACTACTAACTTTACTATCCTAGGTTGTTAGCAAAGTCGACCCATAGGAGCATTTGATTAAAGAATATCTAAGCAGGTTGGCAATGTAATGTTTTATTTTGTCTCCTGCAGCTCTGGAACTTCTGAAGGAGGCCATTGCCAACGCTGGGTACACTGAGGAGGTTGTGATTGGGATGGATGTGGCGGCATCTGAATTCTACAGGGACGGAAAATATGACCTGGACTTCAAGTCACCTGACGATCCGAGCCGCTATATCACCCCCGACGAGCTGGCTGACCTGTACAGGAGCTTTGTGACGGATTACCCAGGTATAAAACTTTGTACACTCTGTTCAAGAGCAAGAGTGCTGGGCGGAATAAAATATTCAACCTCATATGACTGAGGTAACACAGTTCCATGAAATAATGTCGGTGCACCTTGAACCTTTTCTCTTTTCAACTACAGACAAACATCCATTTTGGGTTCAGGCCACTTTAACTATTACTCCTTAAAATCTCAACTACAATAAAATCTGTTCATAAATCTGATGTTGGACCGTGCATGGCTTAAAGCAAAACCATGGGAGATGATGTTATTGTTATGTCAGATAGAAATTAAACTCTTTGATCAACATGCAAACAAATATTTGATAGAAAATTAACAGTGTTCATCTCTCTGGACACAACGTCCACACGATAGTGATGACAGCATCGTCCTGCTTTTCTTTAGCAGGAAATGAGGAACTAATCAAGCCTCAACAGACACAAAGAGCATTCTGGTGATGGAGGTAGGGTTGCAACTAACGATTATTAAGCAAATCGATAAATCGTGATTATTTCTTCTATTAAGCGATCAATAATCGGATATCAAAAGGTTCCCTTAACGAAGACTTTGGCTAAATTAAACCGTGGAACTAAAAGTTTTCCACTTGAGGAGTTCTGGATAGAGCAGATTTTGATCTTAAATGCAAATTGTTTCCATATTTTTTTTTTTTACAATTTTGGTATAACTGCTGCTCAAGGTGGGATGCTCTGTCAGATAAAGTTTTATGTTTTAGAATCTCCAAACTCCAGTTAACGATTAATCGATTACTAAATCAGTTGCAGATTATTTCAATAATCAACTAATCAGGATTAATCAGATTAATTGTTTCAGCCCTAGATGGAGGAAATGGGAAATAGGTGAGATTATAGAGAGGGGGCCCTTAGGAAGCCTAGAAGGCATATTCAGTAATGACATTTACTGAAAAACTCTGAAGTATTTAATATAAACCTGCAGGGTGTGTTGCATATAAATATGTACATATTTTTAGTCAAAATCTTGACCTTATGAACGAGTTTCAACAGTAAGTGTAAAACAGATTTGAATAATACTCCGTGACAGACTGGCAACTTTCCCACGGTGCCCCGATACGTCTGCCCTCTTTAAATCTTAATTTCAAAAGATATCTGTCTTTAGCCTGCAAATGTTGTTTGTGCTACCGTATGTAATATCACAGAAATCTGTTTAACTGTTTATTTAGTGGTGTCCATTGAGGATCCATTTGACCAGGACGACTGGGAAGCCTGGACCAACTTCACTGAGAGCACGGACATCCAGGTTGTTGGAGATGACTTAACTGTGACGAATCCCAGTCGCATCTGCAAGGCAGTGGAGGAGAAAGCCTGCAACTGTCTGCTACTCAAGGTCAATCAGATAGGAACGGTCACAGAGTCATTGAAGGCGTAAGTCAATATGAGTTTATCGTCAGAGGTTCTTGGGAAAACATACATGTTACAGTTGGAATGTATATTCGGGGTGTCACAAGCAGAAAAGCAAAAATCTGATTACGTTAGTTCTGCTTTAGTGAAATGTCATTAGATTGCACCCCGCAGGTGTAAGATGGCCCAGGAGAGTGGCTGGGGCGTGATGGTGAGTCACCGCTCCGGGGAAACTGAGGACACCTTCATAGCCGATCTGGTGGTTGGATTGTGCACTGGACAGGTAATATACAGAGCGATGTTCTGGTGTTTAATAAACATAACTTCCTACAGATATTCACCAGAGATCAATTTCACCTTTTTGGAATAACTCAATAAGGTACTGGTTGACAGCTTGTTGCCAGCAACATCAGGTGTTGATGTGTGTCTAAGAAACATACATAAGAACTAAAACTAGGGCTATAACTAACAATTATTTTGCAAATCGATTAATCTGTCAATTCTTTTTTTCGATTAAACGATTTATAATCAGATAGCAAAAGGTTCCTTAAAGAAGGCTTTTTACGAAATTAAACCAGATGAAACTAAAACTTTTCCACTCGAGGAGTTCTGGACAGAGAATACTGGCAGACAAAAAAGTTTTTTAAATCATAAATGCAAAATGTTTATATATTTTTTCACAATTTTGGCATAATTTCTGCTCTAAGTGGGTTGCTTTGTCAGCTAAAGGTATGTAGCCTATTAGTCTGGAGTCTGTACTCCAGTTAACCATTAATCCATTACTAAATTAGTAGACGATTATTTCTATAATCTATTAATCATGATTAATATGATTAATTGTTTCAAATTTAACTAAAAATAAAATAACCAAAATGGTAATATTTTTATTACATCCAGATCAAGACAGGGGCTCCTTGCCGTTCTGAGCGTTTGGCTAAATACAATCAGATTCTGAGGTGAGTTTTCTTTTCATTAAAAATTTCATGATCTCTCTTCTTTGGTCACTATTTTCGCTATCCTTTTTCACTTAAATAGCTGCTTACCACTTCAATAAACTGACCAATAAACTAACCAAAGACTTTCTAAATATTCATATACCTTGAATTTCTTTACATTAAAACCAAAAACCTCAGGAAAATGACCTTAAACATAAAGCAATAGATAAGCTTGAACTTTTTTGCAAATAATAATTGGCAATAATTTGACTCACATGTATGCATTACATTGAACTGCCTGTTCAGGTATATTGTAAAGTTTGATTGAAACTATCTGTTTTTTTTTCCCCCTTTGGAAGAATTGAGGAGGAGTTGGGAGACAAAGCTCAGTTTGCTGGGAAAAACTTCAGGAATCCTGTGATTGAGTGAAAGAGACAATTATTGGTGAATTGAGACACACAAACGAGTGTAAAGACTTTGATGCAGGAATTAGATGTTTAGAACTTTTACTGTCAGTAAATGAAAAATACAACAAATTGTTAAATGTGCTCTAAGCAGTTAAATATTAGATCTGATTGTAGTACCTTATGATGTTAACTGCATAAACCTACCCTTTGGAGATTACATTAATAAAGTTTCACTGTCTTGAAATACCTGTTTTGTTGTGTGTCCATTTTTTTCTTTTTATCCTGAAGTATGGAAGCCTTTGTGTATTTTGTTAGCTTGTTGTTTCATGTCCCCAGCTTTAAATCCAACTTGTCTTTTCCTTCCAAATATGTATGTTCTTCTCATGCATATGTGTTAACAGGAGAATCTATAATGGTGGATGACAGTCTTCCCCAGACTTACCTTATTTTCCTCTGTAAGGATGGATGGCAGACACAACAAAAAACAGATTTAGTTATTTTTTGGTTGGTTTGACCTTCCTGACACATTCAGGATTAAAATCCAAGTTTCTCATGTCACAGATGCATATTTAACTCACCCTACCACAGAGAAAGTTTCTTTTATGAGATGAAAGTGTCAATGAATTAAGTTGAGCAATTGTTGCATTACATCTATCAACTGTTTAAAAAGATGCCCTTATATAACCCTCTTCAGCCTAAAAAGATAAATAATGATTTCATTACTGGGATGACATGTTTGGCTTTATACTGTTTGGAAAAGGTGGAGATCTGTTGTGGATAGTAGAATAACTAAATAAAACAAAACAAACACAGACAGTCAAACAACCAATTCAATTAAATTCTGTTTATTCATATAGTGCCAATTCAAGACACGTGTCATCTCAAAGCGGTTTACAAAGACAATGCAACCTGATCATACAGTCAGATTAGTTCAAAGTTTTTTTTATCGAAGGAAAACCAACTGACTGCCTTGACTAGTTGACTACAACCAAGCAACACAAGGGAGGAACAGTGGTCCAAGATTGTTTTCCAGTCCATTAGTTGACCATTAATCTTTTGTATGCAATAATTGTCCATATGTCTTTAAGCAGACAGGTCATTCACACTGAGTATTCTGCACTAATTTTATAAAACAGAAAAATTGGTTTAAAGAAAGCAATCTCTTAAGAGGTTTATTTAAAGTCTTTAAGGGCTTATTAATTATAGCTTTTCAGTGCTATAATCTTTTTTTCTTTTCCAAATGAAATAAAGCACAAAAAAAACATGATTTAACACACTGCTGTTTTTCACATTTTTTAGCGAAGCAGCATCTTGTTTCAAAACTGCAGGCAGCTGGATGCATCAGGGAGTGTAAAAGTAGAGATCTCTGCTGAATTGATCCAATGGGATCCTCTGCTGGACAAAGAAAAGGACAACAATGAGGAGAAATGTCCTTGCTTATGGAAATGGTAGCAGTCACTATACAACTCTTAAGCCACAATGTGTGTTAATGTATGGATAGAGCACTATATATATATATCATCCCGTACCATGTGAGGACTTTGTTAAAAAAAATACAAAAAATACAAAAAACACTCTTACGAAACACAATGGGTGTTTGGGTGTTTCCAGTCAGGCTTATTTTTCCTGTTTGTCAGGACCTGCAGGGTGACAAGGAAGAGAAATTACAACTGTTATAATAGGAGCATACATTAAAAAACTGCACATGCTGTTAAAGTTAAGATTTGTTAATAACTTTTAGTTGTGCCTTCCGTGAATATAGAATTCTGCGCTGCTTAGATGAAACCAGAATGTAACTATAATATCTAGATGCAAAACACTATTTGAGATGGGCAACTAACAAAATACAGCATTGCTGCTCAACATGATGATGGCAACATCATGCTGTGCCGTTGTTTTGTCTGTTTTTTTTGCAAAAGGAAAGAAGTTGGCAGCAGTTTGTGGGGAGAGGTTTACCTTCTAGCAGTAGAACAAGCCTAAATATAAAGCCAGAGCTATGTTGAAATGGTTTGGATAAGCCATCTTTATGTGTCAGAAAAAGTTTAGTCAAAGATTTAACCTAATACAAAGTCTGTGAGAAAGAACCCCCCTGACTGACCTAGTAGAAACCTTTGAGACATGTAAAATATTTCATGCTCTAATTGCAGCAAACTATGGTCCTACAAAGTACTGTCATACAAAAGTGTTGAAAATTGTATTTGGAAAACATTTTTACTCTTCACTGTTGCACCTGTTCAGTGACGCTGTATCTCATGAAATGCAGTTTTTGGTTAAAATTGTGAATGATTGTAAAAAAATAAAATCACTAAGGTGTACTTATTGTTTTGCAAGGTCATGCATGTCAATATCATTACGTAGGAAGGTTGCTGGTTTTAAAGATAACTATTTGTAGATATTTGCCAATTTCAAAGTATCGAAGACAACAAAGACAATTCTGCCGAAAAAAAATTTGGGGAAAAATAAGAAATACAAAAGTAAAAAGCTTCCACATCGATTATTGATTTTGACAGAAGTATTCCTATTTGTCTCGACAATGTTATCCAAAGAAAGCACAAATGCCATTTTTTGCAGGCTATCCTAGTGTCTTATAATTGCAAAACTGTGTTCTAAAGAATCCCTGCTCTGTGAAAAATAATCCATTTGAGCTCTAACCAGGCAAAACATCTGATATATTAAATGGACTGATTCCCTTTCTACTTCTGAAAAAATCCATTAATTGGAGCTAAATATTGTTTTAGTTTATCAAATAAAAAGTGACCCACCCCCCTTTATAGCGCTTTACTATGTAGTGTAATGCAATGCCATAAAATTTATTTTCCCAAAATTGACATATAGGGTATGTTAATTTATTATTTGCAATGTTAATTATGGTTAAGTATGCATCATTATCATGATGATGTGATATGTTAATTGTATATGGAGTGTTCTGCCTTCTGCCCTCTTCGCAGCATTCGATGCAGGTGCAGCAGATTCCGAAACAGCTTCTTCCCCACCGCCATCAGACAGCTGAACTGTCGAAAAAACTAAATCATGTCAGACTCTGCATCAAACAGGGGCGGAGCTAGATGGGGGGCCAGGGGTGGCAATGGCCACCCTTAGCCAATCATTGGCCCCCCCTGTGGCCACCCTACCATTTATTTCCTCCTAATACAGATGGTGGCAACAGTAATACTCTCAAGTGGAATATTCTAAACATTTAAATTTTTCATACATTTACAATTACTTGACAACAAAACAATGTGGTTAATTATGCACATCAATATATTATCATTAAAGACAATAAGTAGTGAATTCAACCAGAAATAGATTTTGTGTTTTAAGGGGTAAAGAGAAAATGTCTCTGCAAGTCATCTAGGAGTCTTCAGAGAAATCAGTGATAAATAACAATTTTAATAAAAACGTATTAAATAATCAATTTACGTAGATATTAGTACTTGTAAATATCAATCTTATGCAGAATGATTACTGATAAATGTAGGTAAGTAATGACAATGGAAAAGATGTTCACCCAAAACTCAAACCTGAAAGAATGTTATTCACTATACCTTTTATTTAGAAAGCACGGATGTTTCAATATATTTGTCTTTTTGTTAGCAAAGCCTGTGGGAAAGTATAGTTTTTCTTTATTTACAAAATATGGATGTTTTGCTCGTTAATTTTCCTGTTGGAACAGTGTAGATTGACCATGAAGTTTTGGTGTCTATCTACTTTCAGCCACCCCACAGTGTACATTTGTTATTGCCTGGCCACCCTTATAAAAAATTTCTGGCTACGCCTCTGGCATCCAGCTGACAACACCAAACCAAAACACTGCAAAATTGCACCATATATATTTAATGCTCTGAACTTCCACATCATTGAGCTTTTTTGCACCATGTTTTTTTTTTTTTCCACACTGTTTACATTTGATCACTGTTGCACTTTAAACCTCGCTCTTACACCCTCAGGGGGAATAAATAAATTTCTGCCTGACAAAAACACACAAAAGTAAATCACTTATAGCCTCACAGCTCTTAGATTTAAGAAGAAACCGTTGGTACCTATGTAAAGGTAAGATGTCATAGAATGGTTTTCTAAGGTCAGCACCATTGTAGCTTTGACCCTGCCTGAAATATTAGGGACAAAATACAAAATATTTTGCATTTTTTGAACCTCGCCCAAATTTTCTTTGAAATAAACATTGCAAAACACTACCAAAATATTATTTATAGCACAAAAAAGTAGTACAGACTTTTAAATCTAAATGCTGTGTAAAAATATACCAAATGTGGACTCAATCAGATGAATCATATTTATTTTAGAATGGTATTAGTGAGAAATTTCTTAGGCGGAGAGGCCATTTTGGCACATTTATCCAAAAATGTCACCAAACTGTGCCAAATGTGTTTTTTACATCAATACTGGGGGTTTGTTAAAATTACGAGGTCACTTAGCAGCTGGACCCACTGGTGGGTCCGTAGGGTTCTAGGGGTTAAGAAATGGAAATGTCATGAGAGCTGTGCAAAACAAAATATTGTTTTGTACACACTCTGTTTACAAAATGATGTGTATGAGGTAAATGCATTTTTTAAATAAAACTTTTTTATTTCAAAGAGCTGTAGAAGGGACCAGTAGGCTACTATTAGAATATTGTATTCCCCCTGTTCCATTTTTGGTCATATAAAAAAAAAGGTATTTTTCAATTTTTTTATTATTGTTTTCCTTACTCTTTTATATTTGGAAAAAAAAAAAAGACAAAGTATTATATCATTAGATGAGTTAAATAAAATGTTTAGCTAGCATAAGATATTCTATTAGGAGCAAGGGCCTAATGGGGACTGTGTTACATAACAGTGTTAAAAACTGCAAGCAGCAGCCCCGCAGAGTATGATAAACCGTTCAGATTAATGGCTGACTGCGCAGCAACAGCAGCAGGAAAGTGGCGATGAAGCCCAGCATGTCTGCGGCACATGCTCAGTTCTGAACATCCAGATAAGATGTGAACGCTCTGTGGCTGCTGAGGTCACTACACTGGAAAAAAAAATAGAGCGAGCCTCTACACTACATCGCCTCCATTTTGAATAGCCATGTAATAGGGATCGCACAGTTGGTGCGCGTGTATACATGTATGTGTGTGTGTGTTTGTGTGTGTGCGCGCCCGCGCGTCTCGCCCACAGTGCTGCGTAGTGTCAACAAGCCACGACCAACCAAACATCCGTCGACATGGACGACCTGTTCAGTCCCCGCAGGTAACTTCGTTAACTTGTCATCTGCGTTGCGTTTAAAAATCTGTGCGTGTTAAACGCGCATTCCCTTGTCCGGCGGCGTTACTTCGAGGGCCGTCGGTGTTTAATAGCCTGGGTGTCAGTGGTCACGAAGTTCGTGTGTGGCTAACAAGCTAGATGTTACCTCGTTAGCAGCTAGCGGCTCCCGCTGGGAAAACGCCTCTCTCTCTGTTCACTTTAATGTGACTAACACTTATTTCCCCGTGCGTGCTTTGAATTATTCTGTCATAAAAATAAAAAACACTTATTAAAACATTTTATGCACCCGCTGTTTGATTCACCTTGAGGTTAAGCGGGTATCTTAGCGGGTTGTTGCTAATGTACATTAACGTCTTATGTGTGCTAACCTTTACGTGTATTACTGATTGTACATATTAGCTGCTGTTTTGTTATTTGACAGGTACACGCAGACTGCCAACCTGTTAAGATCTGCGGAACGGCACAGGCTGTTCTCGTAATGGTGACCGTAAAAATTAGCAGCTTAAGCGTGATTGATTGACAGTGTTTTGCAGCCGCTGTGGAGTCGGATTTCATTCATGTAATAGAAGAAACTGTGAACTGAGATTGGATCACAGAGGAGGAGGGGCGGGATGATGATCTGTTGCTGAAATCAGTGCAGGGGAAGGGAGGGAAGCCTCAGATGATACAGGAGGCGTAGGTTACTCTGTCTGACTGCATACTGTATATGCGTCTGTACTGTAAATAGATGAGATAACCATTAAAGAAAGTCTTATGTACTCTGAAACGCTTTTATACATTTTATTTGTTTTTTTCTTTTTTATTTCAGGAGCTTGAACAGCACACAGGGTGAAATAAGAGTGGGACCAAGTCATCAGGTAAATATAACTCCCAATTTAGATGCTCTTTATAATTACTTAAATTGCAGTAGTAGTGACACTCTTTTCTAATTTCAGATCCATGTATATGAATATCAGATTGTCATTGTGATGAGAATTTTTTTGAACAATATGCTCACAATATCTAACCAGACTAAATGTGAGATTAAATGTGTAATTTAGTCTGGCCCCGATGAATGAGACATCGGAAGATTGTTGTTGAGAACAACCTGTTGTTTTTCAAACCATGTCTGTGCCTATTGGCCAGCGCTCTGACCAATAAGTGCACTGACTGTGACATAGGAAGCGAGACAGAAAGCTGGTGGGGGTGCAAACAAAAAGCCTGCTGGTAAAACGGCAAATTTGTCCTTCTTAAAAATGAATGGGCGTAGAGCCTCTTCCTGCTCTCGTTTCAACGAAAACCCCAAGTTTAATCCTTCCAAAACTGATTCCAAAGCTGAGTCAAAAATCGCCATCAGAGCCAGCGGTCCTTAACACACAACTATGCCGAGAGAGGGCCGCTACAGACAGGCTGCGGTTAGCCCTGGCTGCTGTTAGCCCCAGAGGTCTGCTGATTGCCGCGGTCCTCTTAACTTGGAAATTGTTTTTTATTTACACATTAAATAGGTAAATGGACCATATAGTGACGCTTTACAGTATAATATTCTCACCTCAGATGATCTTTAAACATACTTTTATTGAACAACGCAATAGAAAAGAGGACTTTTAATGGAGTGCTCCATTGAAATCTACTACTGGCATAGTGCATGCTACTGTTCAATAGTTGTTGCCATCTTCCTTGTTGTGCTTTCTCCAGCGTGGCACAGCTTTGTCGTCACGCCCTCAAAATCCAGACATTCAGAACTCATCTCTGTGTTGTGATTGGCCCACCAGTTCTAGGGCCTGGGGCATTGATCGAGGCTAGACCAAACTCGCAGGCAAAAATGATTTTGGCCTCTGGCGAGTGGGGCTAGTTTACTAGGCTACAAAATATCCCTGAAAAAAAAGCACTTTCTATTTTTTTATTATTTTTGCAATTTTGTTGAATGCTTTTATGACGTTAAAACTGGTTCCTTCTACAGTGCTGGCAACACAGACTTGGAGGTTTTCACAAAAAAATTCAGTCACTATCTGAAAGAGAGACAAAGCAAGCCCAAGTTTAGGGTGCAGGTGAAGCAGAGCAGTGCTTGTTTATTTCAGTATGCACTATGCATTTATGTTTCTGTCTTATCATGTGTTTTTATTCATTATTCAATAATAAAATGCATAGAAGGGATGTTATTCAAATAAGCCCTTAAAAGTGCATTTTTTTTTTCGAAGAGAATATAAAATATCTACGTTCATAGCCTATAATTGCACAAATCAGTGAAATAATTGGTGACATTTGTATAACACAGACTATGAGCAAAGCTGGTTTCTGCTGAAGCTTCTATTGTTTTGTTCGGATAAAATAAACATTATTGGCTTTTGGAACTGATCTTTTAAAATGATTATACTTAATTCTGCCCAGCTGCATGCTACCTTGGCTTTATCAATTTTCTTCTTCCCAGAAAAGTATTGCAGACCGATGTCTGGTGTTGCAGTATTCCTGAAACCAAGCAGCAGTGCGCATTATTATTAGATTAACATTGTTTTTGCACAACCTGGGGTCTACCTGAACAGTTAATGAATGATGGTATAATGAATTTCCCCAGACTTCAATCTCTGCGTCACTTCTGGTCAACTTTTTATTATACAATTTTAGCAAAGAAATACAACCAATATGGATCACATTTTCTTATATGGAACACATTACATCTTAAATCCCAATGGAATTTAGAATACTTCCCAGGTTTTCAATATTAAAATATATACACAAATCCTATCCTACCAATCGCTAGACAAAGCCGAACTAAAGGACAGCACAGAGGCACTCATCATGGCTGCACAGGAGCAGGCCCTAAGCACCAGAGCAATAGATGCCCCAGATCTTCCACACCAGACAAGACCCCAAGTGCAGACTTTGCAAAGAGGTCCCAGGGTGTAAGATGCTGGCAGGGAAAGCTTACATGGAGCGCCATAACCAAGTGGCTGGAATAGTATACAGGAACATCTGTGCAGAGTATGGGCTGGAAACCCCAAGGTCAAAGTAGGAAACACCTCCAAAGATGGTAGAGAATGACCAAGATCCTGTGGGACTTCCAGATACAGACGGACCGAATGGTAATGGCAAACCAACCGGACATTCTGGTGGTGGACAAAAAGTAGAAAAAAGCCTTTGTGGTTGACATAGCAATACCAAGTGACTGCAAGATCAGGAAAAAAGAACATGAAAGACTAGAGAAATACCAGGGGCCCAGAGAAGAGCTGGAGAAAACCTGGAAGGTAAAGGCATCAGTGGTGACCGTGGTCATTGGGGCACTCAGGGCAGTGACCCCCAAACTTGTAGAGTGGTTACAGCAGATCCCTGGAAAAACATCAGACATCTTGGTCCAGAAGATTGCAGTTTTAGGAACAGGAAAGGTACTGCGGAGAACCCTCAAGCTTCCAGGCCTCTGGTAGAGGACCAGAGCTTGGGGGGAAAGGGGAAAGGCTGCCCGCGATGGGTGAGGAAGAATATTTGAGTATCAGTGCTCAAGTATTGTTACAGATTTTAAACTTGATTTGGGTCCAGACATCGGCTTGCTCTTTCTGTCTTACGTTGTAGCTCTGTTTATAAATGTAGAGCCGTTGTCCTGTTAAAGGGGAACATCTCTCCACGTTTGAAGCTTCTTTCTTGCCCTAACTGGTTAGGGCAAGAAAGAAGCCTAAGATTGTCTTCTGTTTCGCTCGATCTATTTCCCCTTATCTGCATCTTCACAATATAATACTTTGTTGTTTATCTGTTTTTCCTTCAGGCGAAGCTCCCAGAGCTACAGCAGCGGCCTTCATCTGGTGCACAGACCCAGACGGAGAATGAGGAGCTCATGTGGACACCTGGAGTTAATGACTGTGACCTTCTTATGTACCTTAGAGCAGCCAGGTCCGTCACTGTCTTGGAGGCAGACATTTATTTGCTTTTTAATAAATGTCATTTTGGTAACTTGAATATTTTTTCTAGACCACAGTAAGTTTTAAACTGAATTAGTAAGCCATAATCATATGTAATGATTTTGACCTTTTAGATTTTTTAAGGTAATGTGTTACTCAGTCCTTTTTCTTTGCTTTTACTTTATTTACCTTACTATATTTATATATTTAGCTGATCTAAGCAGCTATGCAAATGGTTGTAAATTGAGTAAGATTAAGGCCATTCCGTGCTTTTTAAAATATTTTTTCATGATAGTATCTAAATGCTACATTACTATTACTCTATTGCTATTATGAGTAATATAATTGTGATTGTTTTAGGAGCATGGCAGCATTTGCAGGGATGTGTGATGGTGGATCCACAGAGGATGGATGTCTGGCAGCTTCCCGTGATGACACCACACTTAACGCTCTCAACATGGTGCGCAGCAAAACCTGAACTATGTAATCTTGAAGAAATAACATAATTTCAGCGCTATTATTCAAAACAAGTTGATATTTTTTACCCATTTCATTTTAGCTTCATGCAAGCCATTACGACGCAGCCAAAGCTCTGCAGCGTCTGGTCAAGAGGCCACTACCAAAACTGATTGAAAAATGTTGGTCAGAAGATGACGTGGTGAGAAAACTCTTCCAAACGGATCAGTTCTACAGTTGTCCTTTAGAATTTATTTTGTACTTTCTTTAGCAGTGGGAACAAGTAATTTGATATATGTTTTAAAAATAATGAATATGTTGAGCATCATTATATTAACTTTAGCTATTAAATTGTGAGCTCTGCTGGAGATGTGCTCAACAAAACAATTCTGAATGCTGCAAATCAGCTAAGAAAATTCCTTTAAGTGACTATTAATGAGCTTAAGACCTTGATTTTTCAGACGACTACTAGACAAAAATTTAATAAAGTTACAGGAATAAGATCAGTTTCATTAGACATTGAACCATTGATATCAACACAGGCAATAGAGAAAGATATAGGTCCTGATATGGATCATTGCAATAATTATTATAATTTTGAATTTGATTTCAGTTCAGGTTATATAGCAAGTAGAGACTGTAGTGTTTATTTATAGAACTGCTTACTCTGATTTGTTCATGTTGATCTTACAGAAACGCTTCATCAAAGGTCTAAGGCAATATGGAAAGAATTTTTTTCGCATCCGGAAAGACTTTCTGCCCAGCAAAAAGACTGTAAGCAACTGTTGTTTTATTTAATTTGTTAGATATTTTCTCTTTAATTATTGATATGGAATTAACAGACACGATTAAATAAATCTGTGTTGTCATCAGGGAGAACTGATCACATTTTATTACCACTGGAAGAAAACCCCAGAGGCTGCTGGAACCAGAGCTTATCGTCAGCAACGTCGGCAGCCGTCCTCTCGCAAAGCAAAGACTCGATCCACAGCAGCTACTGTCAGCCCTCCATCTCGA